ATTATTCCTGTTACCATAGCTACCAAGTGTTGAAAATAAATGAAACTTGTCATAGTGGTAGTGCATTATAAGTAAATGATTACCTGTAAATATCAAGATTAATGGCTACATATTCTTGGAAATATAGATGGCTTTCATTGTACCCCCCTTAAAATCATACCAATGGGGTATAAATCTGTTTGCCATAGTAACCAGTAATCCAACACTGATGAAATTTTCCATGATAGTCAAACATAATGATGTGAATAATATCTGTTAATTTCAGGACAAATGGTTACTTATTTTTTTCAAAAAGTTTAACACAAATAAAGAATTCTTTGGAAAAGTGCCACGTCCCCTTTCTAAATTTACTTGCATTGCCATATAATCGTCAGCAATAGATTCCACTTTGTGAATAAGACAAAACAGCAGTTGATTTAATATTATCAAATATACTTTGAATAAGTTTTCTAAAATGGTTTCATGGTGATTCCTTCAAATTTCATAAAAATAATATGTGTTTTGTCTCATGGGGTATCTTACATTTTGACGAAAATGTGTATTTTTTAACATATGATCTCCATATTCATAGCAACCAGTTGATCGACTTCAATGAAACTTGTCATAATGGTAGGACATGATAAGTACATGATTACCTGGAAAAATCAAGATGATTGGCTCTATATTCTAGGAATTATATATGGCTTTCCTAGTACCCCTCTTAAAATTACACCAGGGGGGTATAAATCTGAATATTTCCAAAACGCTGAAAAACTAGACACCAATGATTTCAGAATCAATGGATAATAATAAACCACAAATAACATACATGAAGAGAAATTGCTACTTTTCAAAACCACTTTTACACCACGCTCATCCAGTAAAATAGCCGTTCAGCTCTAGTGTTTGTTTAGACTACACCATAGCTTGTAATGATTACATAGTATGCCATTGATGAAGTTCAATAGCTGGTTTTCTAATACATATTTTAAACGAGCTCGTTTCGTAAGATTATTGGAGTTAAATCATGCGTAACATACATCATCTTCTTCAGAAAGAATTATACTCTGCATCGAAATCAAAATTGCAAGGATAGTATTCAACAGACATGAGTATAATGATTCCCGTTGATAGCAACGTGAAATTTAAAATCTCCCGTTCTAAACACGCAACTTTGAAGTTGAACGGGTATCTGAAGTAGACTAAAGTGATACAATCCTATGTTGATTCAATGTACTTTGCGTTTACGTATACGTTTTGAAAAACCGTATTTGCTTAATAGTCCATGGTATGAAATTTCTAGGACGTCTAATAAAGGAGATGGTAGCACACTATAGCGCAGCGATATTTGACCTAATATTTACATACCTACATATGTCCCGTATTTATTTTTATTACAGCCATTAAATATACGTCCGGCTTTTAGGTCGAATTATGCCTGTCATTACCATGGGTGAAAAAAGTATAAGAAAATAAAACGGTTTTCCACAATTTGAGGTAAATAATACTAAAGCTAATCATATTTTAGAAAAAAACATATGTTTTATGTTTCTCGGCTATAAATGTGAGATTATTGTCATCAAAAATACAAAAAAAATAAAAATCAGTCTATCAACAATTTTCTTGTGTTAGGAAATATCTGTGAAGTAAACATTTTGAATGAACCATTTTTATTTTGAAATGATATATCCTGATATTGTATCAGTCTTTCAACAAATTGGTCGTAATACGTTTTGAGATATGAACTGTCAACTCCAGGGGTCATTTACCAATAAATGATAGCGTATCGTTCTTCCTTGGCTGACTATCACCACGGTTCAATTATTTTTCTGTAATTAGATATCACCTGGCCTCTTATAAAATAATCACAAAAATCGGTAGAATTCATGAATCTTTGAGAATTTTCTCTTTGATTTTTGTCTTAGTGATGAGAACATGTGATGACAACCAGCAGTAATTTAAAAAGAAAAACTAATGAATTGAATAAAATATCTTATGTTGTTATGTTTCCTTGCTCTTTTTAGTATTTCACATTTAATACGAGTCAGTAATTCGGGAAATGATCGGATACATATATGAATAAATTGCAATAATGTTTTTCATCGTACTTTACTTGTCATATTTAATATCAAAAAGTTAGTTTTATCGAAAAAACTTGCCAAAATGTCAGAACTTTATGAATTGCTAATAATTTACAAACCTGGCTCCTGTTTTATATTTTAAGCTCTTTGTTTAAAGGGGAACTGTGGTCTGTAAATGATCATAATATAATATCTTTAATGAAGGGAAAATTAATGCAAGACTAAAACGTAGGATATACTCACGTATACATCTGAATAAAAACAAATCGCAATTAAAGATATGAAAGGCATTCCGAACCATTTGCCAAACACAGATAGAGGCATTCGAATGTGTCGAATGTTGTACATCACACACTACGGTAAACGTGATAAACATTTCATTGACAAAGTATCCATATAAAAACGAGTAAAATATGACATTAAAAATAGAACTAAATAGAATCTTTGGCAGACATTTCACTCACAAAAGATTGTTCCTAATATAAATACAATACCTGACATAAAAAAATAAAGCCGATGTAGCATTTGCAGCCATTGAGCTCACTAAGGCATAAGTAATGTCTGACATAACGAAAAAAATGGTAAAGCCTCTCTGGTACATAGTTCACTCACAAATGAGCAATATATAACAAAAGATAGATCTGATGTAACCTCTTTAGCAATTGAGCTCACTCACACATGAATGATGTCTGACATGAAGAAACATAAATGGTAAAGCCCCTCTAGTCTCCCACAAAAGTGAGCAATAGTTGACATAAAAAAATAAATCTGATGTAACCTCAGCAACAATTGAACTCACTCACACAGGAGTAATGTTCAATATAACGAAATAAGCAATTGAGCTCACTCGCACATGAGTAATGTCTGACATAAAGAAATACAAATGATAAAGCCTCTGGTATAAAGCTCCCACTCAAGTGAGCAATACTTGACATAAAAAGATAAATCTGATGTAGCCTCAGCAACAATTGAACTCACTCACACATGAGTAATGTCTGAGATAACGAAATAAATGATAAAGCCTCCATTGTAAATAGATCACTCACAAGTGAGCAATAGTTGACATAAAAAAATAAATCTGATGTAGCCTCTGTAGCAATTGAACTCACTCACACATGAGTAATGTCTGAGATAACGAAATAAATGATAAAGCCTCTATTGTAAATAGTTCACTCACAAGTGAGCAATAGTTGACATTAAAAATAAATCTGATGTAGCCTCAGCAACAATTGAACTCACTCACATATAAGTAATGTCTGAGATAACGAAATAAATGATAAAGCCTCCATTGTAAATAGTTCACTCACAATTGAGCAATACTTGACATTAAAAATAAATCTGATGTAGCCTCAGCAACAATTGAACTCACTCACACATGAGTAATGTCTTAGATAACGAAAGAAATGATAAAGCCTCCATTGTAAATAGATCACTCACAAGTGAGCAATAGTTGACATAAAAAAATAAATCTGATGTAGCCTCTGTAGCAATTGAACTCACTCACACATGAGTAATGTCTGAGATAACGAAATAAATGATAAAGCCTCCATTGTAAATAGTTCACTCACAAGTGAGCAATACTTGACATGAAAAATAAATCTGATGTAGCGTCAGCAACAATTGAACTCACTCACACATGAGTAATGTCTTAGATAACGAAAGAAATGATAAAGCCTCCATTGTAAATAGTTCACTCACAAGTGAGTAATACTTGACATAAAAAATAAATCTGATGTAGTCTCAGCAACAATTGAACTCACCCACACATGAGTAATGTGTCATTTGCATTTTTTCTTGTTTTGCTACAAAATATACACAGGCGGGGAGACATTTCTGCGGGTAATATATAAGTTGGATATTTGGCGGCGGGTTCATGGCTATGTTTCGTTTCATTCGATTGTTTTCGCTTACGAGAAGAGATGCCTTTTGCCACATTTGCCATCCTGTGTTTAATACTCTGAAATCGATGCTATATACTATGATTCATTTCAATTAAAATGTAATGTTATTCGATAAGATCACATGACACTATGATAAATGCGAGGCATTTGATTGCGCATGCCTATTAAACGAAGTAATACATTCATTTTAAAATGTGTAAACATTTTGATACTAATGGCTCATTCTTTTAGTGTTATATCAAAACCATTTGTCATTTGATCATATTGTATATAATCAACAGAAATTATTTGTGGTTTCTACCTCGACAATGATATAAATAAACTCAGCAAATATAATGTTTTTAGTAGTACAAAACTAAGATGTTAGTTGCCATGAATTATCTAAATATTTCGCTTAGTTTTCGTATATTTGTTCAATCAATATAAGAAAAAATAAATAAAAAGCAGAAAACCACATTTATGTAACACACTAATTAAACAACGCCATTTGTATCAAGATGTTTATTAAATATTATATAATGATAATCCTTTTCATTGTATATACTTACATTTACGGTTTGGGTCTTTTAGTCTGCATTAAAATTCAAATGAACATTTTTACGATTTTTGACCCCTTGTGATGACAGGCAGATTTCGACCCGAAAGCCGGAAGTTTTTTCAGCAAACACTATTTAAAAAAATCAAGACATATGCATCTCCTCAAATATTGGTTCAAATGTCGCCGCGCTATAGTGTGCTACGATTTCTTCATATTCCCGAGTCATACCATGGACTATAACCTCTCCACTAAACAGTCGCCTGGGCTGAAAGCAAAAATCTTGCACATGCGCGAACGAGGTAGGGTAGAGTGACTTAATCAGTAGTTTATTTTATATCCACTTAGCCCAACTTGCTGGTGACTGTTTCTGAGCTCGATGCAGCTGCTATTCGTTTCGTCTCTAAAACAATTATAAAATAGAATAATCATTATCGAAGTTTACATCATCTGTAGTTCACCTTGATAATGTTTTTGTCGTGCGTTGAACAACTAGGATTTCGGATGCAAATTGCGAGACTCAGGACATTCTCTGGTAAAGTTGAAACACACCAGCAGAATGTGCTGAAAACAGCGCATCACGAGACCAATGTTTGCCAGTACGAAAAAGGAAGGCCATTTGATACGATTCCCGGGCCTAAAGGAGTCCCCGTGTTCGGAACACTGTTCCAGTATACAAGGGGTCCATACAGTATCGATACTTATCCAAACGCCCTAGTTGACAGATACTACAGATATGGCCCGATATTCAAAGAGACAATCGCTGCCAAAACAAGAGTTCATATCTTTGATCCCGAAGAGATCAAAAAATTATACGCTACAGAAGAAAACCCGCATATTCCACCACTTTTAGAGACAGTCAAGATGTACCGGAAATACCGAGACATGTCCCCAGGGCTGGGTAATGTGAATGGCGAGGAATGGTATCGCTTGAGGAGTTCCGTGCAGAAGCTTATGATGCAGCCTGTGTCGACGGTTAAGTTTCTTCCGATGGTAAACGAAGTCGTAGCTGACTTTATAAAACGAATGTACAAGATTCGGGCTTCTACGGGAGAGATCAATAACTTTAACTTTGAATTGTCAAAGTTCATATACGAATCCTCAACCTACACTTGTTTTGAAAAACGTCAGCAAATCTTGGATGACGAAAAGGGGAGTCACACAGACAAATTATTAGCGTGTAATAGAACAATGTTAGAGCTGTCAACAAAACTGAAATTCCAACTGCCATTCTTTAAATATATCAGTACACCTACATGGAGGAAGCTCGTTGCGTCTGAAGATTTCTTTTACAGGTAATTAATTATTTGCAAAACAAGTCATGCGCCCCCTCGATAAGTTTGATAATTGAACGTTTTCAATGAATAACATATCAAAGTCTGTCAATGTTTGAATCCTAATTCTGCTCCCTAATTAAATGAATAAACGCAGGGAGCTCACATCTCGAAATCAAGACCTCATGGTTAGGACATCAGCGCCTAGCCCAGCGTGCACAAAGTTTGACAAAGTTGATCAAAACAGCAGGCTTTGATAGGTTGAAACACACAATTCATCCTCCAAAGGGGGACTTCTGCTAGCTCAACTTATAGAGGAGAATGTAGCTCTCAAGTTCTGTAACTTGAAAATTGAAAAGGTCTACCATTAAATATTTGGAAAAGAAACGCAACTGTAACTTGAAAATTGAATAGGTCTACCATTAAATATTTGGAAACGAAACGTACCTGTAACTTGAAAATTGAAAAGGTCTACAATTAAATATTTGGAAACGAAACGTACCTGTAACTTGAAAATTGAAAAGGTCTACAATTAAATATTTGGAAACGAAACGTAACTGTAACTTGAAAATTGAATAGGTCTACCATTAGATATTTGGAAAAGAAACGTAACTGTAACTTGAAAATTGAATAGGTCTACCATTAGATATTTGGAAACGAAACGCAACTGTAACTTGATAATTGAATAGGTCTACCATTAAATATTTGGAAACGAAACGTACCTGTAACTTGAAAATTGAATAGGTCTACCATTAAATATTTGGAAACGAAACGTACCTGTAACTTGAAAATTGAATAGGTCTACCATTAGATATTTAGAAACGAAACTTAACTGTAACTTGAAAATTGAATAGGTCTACCATTAAATATTTGGAAACGAAACATTCTCATAATTTTTTCACATTATAAAACCTTTTCTCCTTTTCTATTGGGATACTAGAAAATCATTGTTCATGAGCACGTCACATACTTTATCTCCTTTTAGTCATACATTGACAAATACATTTAGCTGAGTAACCGTTTAATCTTGTAATTTCTCAAGAACTTGATATGTTTTGTATATATACTGCTATACCTACTCTGGGGATTAGCTCAAAAACATTTTGTGAAAAAAATCATGAAAGATTTAAGTTTTGGAAAGACGAAAAATATTACTTTCTAAAAATTCATACGCCAGTCGTTCTCTTCCCTGGAATAATTTTGTCACAATTTATGGTCATACTTTATATGTAGTGAAACGATTTACTAGCTTCACAATAGTTTATTATTCATTCCAGCTTAAAACAATAGATACATCTCGCCAGCTTTGATATACTTAAAGGTTTCTAAATATTTCAGGTTTGGACTGACACTGGTGGACGAAACCGTTGTTAAAATGAACGAACTGGCCGAAAGTGGTGATTTGAAAAACGGTCAGTATGAGTTTTTGAGTTACTTGCTGGGAAGGAGAGAGTTAAGTTATAAAGACGTGAGCATACTCACCCTATCAATGTTCAATGATGGTTTGAGTACAACTTCCCCCAGTCTAGTGTGGCAACTTTATTGCATATCAAGACATCCAGAGAAACAAGAAAAATTGTACGAAGAAGTTAAGGATTTATCCGGGAAATCTGAGCCAATTTCTGCCCAAACACTGACGAGGCTACCCTATCTAAAGGCTTGCGTTAAAGAGGGATTTCGGCTCTTCCCCATTGCCCCCGATGTTACGCGGGAACCAACGAAGGACACCGTCATAAGTGGTTACCAAATACCTAAAGGAACTTACTTGAGTCTGAACAACAATCTGTTGTTGAGGCTACCAGAATATTTCGCAGAGCCAAATGCATACAAACCGGAGAGATGGATACGTGGCGACTCGACCGATTCCATCCACCCCTACGTTGTCTTACCATTCGGCCATGGAACACGAATGTGTGTTGGACGAAGATTTGCCGAGCAGGAAATTTATGTGATGTTGATCAAGCTGTTACAGCATTTTAAAATAGAATGGAATTCTTGTGAAGAAATGGGAAGAAAGTTTAGGACGCTATTTACACCTAGCACAGAGGCAAAGTTTAAATTCATTCCAAGGGAGTAGATGATGCATTGCCTAAACGAACAGATCTTCATTATTTGATAAGGAGCTGAATCACTTAAAAAATTATATTCGTGTAATTTTATTCGAAGCATTAATGTGCCTGTTAAGGGAGAGCGAATACCGATATTCACCTTATGCAAACAGAGCCTGTGAGAAATATTGGGTGCGTCATTAATGAGCGGATTTGACGGTCATTTTTGAATTTAAATTTGTGATATTTCTGCAACTAAGCCAGTCTTTGAAGTTGACACCTAATAACAATAAAATTGTGAAAACAGTGATGTAATTCATTCTGTAACGACGCAGTATGCCTTAAACCTTTTTGGCACAAACATGAACATGAACGTATTTCCTAGTATGTATAGAAATTTGTCGAAGCTGTTGAAGTGGTCCAAGTACTCTCACAACACAAACTATTATTATATCATCGAATAATAAAGTTTTTATGTTTATTGAGCTTTTCGCACCAAATATTTAAAAATTACACATTGGGGTGGTCTCCGTCTTTTTGACGGCGGTTGGTGGTTGGCGATCGGCGGTTTGTGATGGCGTCTGTAACAAATTCTTACAACTTCCAATCACTTAACAAATACTGTTTAGACTGACTTTAATTTTTTTCAAAATCATTTAACAGTTTTCAGAAGTTCAAATCTGACTCCATATATAAGATTTGACCTTCAATGACCTTTTCAAGGTAAAAAAGGTATTTTTTTCATCTTGCTTCAAATTGACCATTTTTTCAAAATCATGAACAAATTATCAGAAATTCAAATCTGTTTTTAAATTTCAGATTTGACCTTCAATGACCTTTTCAAGGTCAAAAAAGGTCAAAAGGTATTTTTTCAACTTGCTTCAAATTAAGCAATATTTTTTTCTAAATCATCTACAAGTTCTCAAAAGCTCAAATCTGGCTATACATTTGACCTTCAATGACATTCTCAAGGTCAAAAAGGATTTGACCTTCAATGACCTTATCAAGGTAAAAAAGGTATTTTTTTCATCTTGCTTCAAATTGACTAATTTTTTTCAAAATCATCTACAACGTTCTCGAAAGTTCAAATCTGACTATAGATTTAAGATTTGACCTTCAATGACCTTCTCAAGGTCAAAAAGGTATTTTTCATCTTGCTTAAAATTGACCAATTTTTTTTTTTAAATCATCTACAAGTTCTCAGAAGTTCAAATCTGACTTTAGATTTGAGATTTAACCTTCAATGACCTTCTCAGGGTCAAAAAGGTCCTTTTTCAACTTGCTTCAAATTGACTAATTTTTTTTCAAAAGCATCTTCAAGTTCTCAGAAATTCAAATCTGACTTAAGATTGAACTTATAATATTGTGAGCAACTAGGTGGTGACATTTTGTCATGTTAATGCCTTGTTTATAATGGATGCTAATTTCAAAATATATGCGTCGCTATCAAATGAATTACACTACTTATTTTCAAAATTTTATTGATATTAGGTGTCAACTTCACACATATGGATATATTTGAAGACACGAAATTGCTTCAAGTTTCAGAAATATCACAAATCTAAATTAAAAAATGACCGTTTAATCCACACCATCCGCTCATTCATGCCGCACTCAAAATTTCTCACAGGCTCCGTCTGCATAGGATGATATTGAAATTTGAGAAATCAAAGGCAGATAATGGACCTACATATATCTTTACTACAATTATACATTAACTGAAAATAAAGATTTTGAAACCCTTGAAAGAACAGTCTAAGAGGTTCAATGGATGGTAGACAATAATTCAATTTTGTTGCAGATTGAAATCACGAGAAAAGTTTTGACGGGTGTCATGGGTCAGTAGCTGTTGAAATTTTCATCCAAAATTACCAAAAAACATTTTCGATTCACAATGATATTTTGATTTATGTTGCAGGTAACATTTGCGAATTCAGCTGACGAGTGCTGGTTTAACCCTACTATTTAGTACTTAGGCCCAACTCATTTAAATATGAATTTGCCACTATTCCATCTATATCTAAAAATTGGCCATAAGATATAGTAGGTTGAACCGTCAGCCGACAGTTGAGTTGACGAATACTACCCTACATAAAGAATACACTTGAACATAAACCTTATTTTATGTCATTTTCAAAAGCTTGAAAATTAGTGTTGGAATTAATTGGAAAGGTGGAGGTAAAAGATTTAATCACATCGTCCCATTATTTCCACATTGTTATAACTCACTTTTTACAGGTTTTGAGATAAGTATACTATATATCTTCCTCAATTTTTCAAGAGGAATTCATTTCAATGGGGTCCATTTCAATGGATCTAATCCTCTTTTGGAGATATCAAGTGCCACATTGTTATAAGTGCAAAACGAGAAAAAAAATTAGGCGCACCTTGTCATATACATTTGGGTAGGCAGCAGAGCCAACCAGATACATAAATACTTACTAGTATACACTTTGCAGGTAATTAACAAAGGAAATCACAAATCATGACACCATACATCACCATACATGTAGCACTAGTACAATCAAAAGAAAGCAGATTTGACATTATTTGCAACAAAAACAAGTTCATCAATGAACTCAATCAATTACTGCCCTGTTATTCCCTTTTTACCTTTGTCATTTACCTTTTAAAGATCTGGTGGATTTATCCAAAATATTTACAATTTTTCGCACATAAGTTGTGACAACCACTTGACCAATCATGATCAAACTTGTCATAGTAATTAATTATATATAGATACATAATCCCTAGAAATATGAATGTGATTGAACGTATATAACAGAAATTATTGATGAATATCATAGTACCCCCTCATAACAGTAGCCGGGGAGGGGGGGGGGGAGGTATAAAAATTAGACCCTATTATTTTTAAAACCAATGAAAAATGTTATAGTACACACAATTAACATAATTAAAAAATGCAATATTGGAAGCAAAAACATGGACCAAGCTCATCCAGTACCTTATCAGTCAAAATGGAACACAAGTCATATTCTGTATAATTAGATGGGCAGAATAATGGTATACGAGACAATAACAAAATGTAAGTGAATAAAAAATCAATTTTCAGGGTTATTTTGATATTTCAAAAACAAAAAACCATAAAAAGATGTGTTTTTATCTATTTCTCATCAGTGATTTTTGCTTTGCAAGACCTTTATATACACATGATTACCCATACGAAAAAACAAGTTTTTAAAAATTACTCCTCAAAAGTTATGAAGACCTAAACTTCAACCTCTGATTTCTCAACATAAGCTTAAATGCCATTGTGAAAATGTAGAAATAATGGGACGTCTGTCATGTCATAATACGATGAGGATTTTTCAAGCGCTGAGGCATTTAGAAAAGAAGTTTTATTAAAGTCTATTGAAAGTGCAATTTATCATAACCTTATAATTTAAAAACATGTTGTGTTTATTTAGGATCAAGGTTATAGACACTGTTCTTTTAATAGGACCTTTAATTCAACTCTTTTATTTTTTGCTAACCTGACTTAATAGAACACTCAAGGTCGTTCGTCTGGATGCTCAATTGTAATTCTAGGGGCTCGCGTATCGAGCTGTCCGTGAATGCGGGTTAAGGGACACATAAGGGAAAAAATTATTGAATCACAAATTCATTTTGAACAGAGGCATTCCGTTTGCAACACATTGCTGTTTTGTGGGTTGAATTTTTAATTGCAAATTAATATAGAAATAAAAAAAAAAAGCATGTTTTCGTTCATTTTTTAGTTTCACAAATCATATTGTCGCAGCTCTAGAGAATTAATAGGCATTATCATATCATTGCTAACTTTGTTGATTCCTACCCTTTACAAATACAAAACAAGTGGAGGTGACGCAATTAGATCAGTAATTCTACGAGTACTAATAATTCTCAAAGAAGTATTTTAAAAATGTATATGTTTGATAAACGTTAGTGGTAGGGGTGGAATATGAATTTTATTCTGAGGGAAAATATGATATTGGCGCACAGCGTCAAAAAATACAGTAGTACAGTTTTCTGCACGGTGACGTTTTCGCCATTTTGGGCCGACATTTTACCGACGGAAGAATCGAGGTAAGAAATATCATTGATTTTATCAGGATTGAATCAGTTCACCTCCAATGATTCACTGCATTCATTCGGTAATTGAATTGCGAATATATGTGTCTTCTTAAGATGATCTACTTCAACGTGATTTTCTTGTTATACATCGGCCCATACCGTCAGCTATCTGTATTTTTTGGCTGAATATCACAAAATCCTCTCTCATTTTTGTTTTGCTACGTACAGGGTGTTCAGGAAATAAAGATAATAATGTCATAACTTTTTTATTTATTCATGGATTTCAATAAAATTTGCAGGGATTATAGTTTCAACATATTTAAACTTACTTTTGGAGTTTCAGCTTCAAGTGATTTGATTTGTCATTTCTGTGGTTGGCATAGCAACGCGCGTAGCGCTAAGGCGGGGCACATGGAATAACTGCAGTAGTTTCTGTTACATTTAGCATGGCAAACCGATTTTGACTCCATATTTAAAGCTTTCTTGGTGCATCTCCATGATAAAATTCTTCTATTGTTTTGTTTTATGATATAAGAGTCAAATAAATACTTTTTAATGATATTCAATGGGATTTTCATGAATTAATGCAGGCATTACATAGAGAGCGACCCGGGATGCAATTTCTCTTCGAATTCCACTTGGTGCAATTCCCCCTCCCATACTGCTGCCATAATCACTAAAGGAATTGATCAGCTGAGATTAGAGGAACTTCAGCATCCACCCAACCTAGCGCCAAATGATTTATACTTCTTCGCTGAATCAAAACAGGACTTACGAGGACATGCATTTGAGAATACCCATGCCATACGTTCACATGTATTAAACAGACTTCAGGAAATGAGTCAAGAAGAATTCTGTGAAGTATTTGAAGAAGGTTCAAGAGGCAAATAGTTAGTGTCTAAAATGGAGGAAATTATGGAGAATAAATTGATATATTGGCAAAGAATTTCAGGCTTATAGTTATAACTATCTTTAAGCATCCATTTTAAGTCCTAAACATGATAGAATCTCTTTTTAAAACATTTAAAGCATGCAAATATACTGCAGTTATTCCACATGCCCCGCCTTAGCGCTACTCGCGTTGCTATGACAACCACAGAATCAACCAATCAAATCACCTGAAGCTGAAACTGACACTCCAACAATAAGTTAAAATATGTTAAAACTATAATCTCTCAAACTTTCAATGCAATCCATTAACAAATAAAAAAGTTATGACATTATTATCTTTATTTCCTGAACACCCTGTAGATAACGTTAACACTAACATGATGAATAGCAGATCTAAATATAAGTACACACACATATATACACACTTGGTATACGCAGCTAACGAAAATTGACCGGTACGGGTCAAAAGCTGGACCGGTACGGGTTAACGGTTTTATTTGAATTTAAAACAGCCATAACTTGCTCAATATTGATTTCCTCGTGTCTAATTTGAAATATATGATGCCTCCCGATGCTTTTAAGTACCCCAATTTTTTACAGATTTTTAAACGGACCAAAACTCTCTAAATGCGCATTTATGCTCTTTTCTCTCGAGAACGACTGTCTCATTTTCACGATAACTTTTATTTAGTACTTCTAACATATAAGATCTATTTTTCCCCATCAAGGTATGATGTAAATGACATGCTATTTACATCTTGTGAGTTTCAATGACGCGCGTTTGATTTTATCAAAAATGCCAAACTTTGTGACAAAGAATTTCATCCTGCTTGCAGCGAGAAGACGGACTGGTTCGGGGCAATAGCCATGCCAAATATATTGCCTTTAACTACAATCTTTTTCATCGTTCCTTTTCTTAAGAGCTTTGAAAGCTGGCTCTAAAATTATGACTTTCGTGAAATTTTGCATGTAATAGGACAGCACGCCCTTGAAAACATGTCATATCTCAATTATGAATGATCGCATCTTTTAATTTTGGTTATGCTGGCATATCGAATATTCATTCAGAGTGTGATGCCAGCACTATATCAGGTCTCCACCTATTACTGATTATATCGACCCGATATACTAAGCTTTAGATTTATTCAGTGCAAATCGTCGTTAAAACACATCCATATAGCATTATGGAATCCGGGAAAAGTAAGTTATATAAATTTATCAAATCCTCTGTTCGGTTTATCAGCCTATCATGTTCCATGTGTGATGATAATTGTGATTGAATAATAATAAGTATGCTGTGAAAACTTCTGAAAATTCACTGTTTTGCTTGTGAAAAACGACCAGGATGTTAATCATATACTGGTGACAGTCTTGTGTAAAAATGGACACTATTTAAAAAACAACGTTTCCACTCTACTTTGATGAAAATCGAAATAACCAGTATGACCCCATCTATAAGCGAATATGGTGTCAAGCTGTGACAATCGACACGCGTGAATCTTTTTGGCTTTCAACCAGGTCGCCTTTAAGTATATCGACTGCTTAGTCAACAGATTAATACGTTTGGCGCTCTGGTTGAGTCGATATTGTTATTGACTGAACTTCGATGGTGAAATAGTGAAGTCCATGTTCAAAGTTATATGATTAGATTTTAAAATATTTGATATGTCATAATACAGGGTACATAGTTTCAAAAGTTGATCAAAACAGGGCGCCAGGAATGTAAATTGTTCTATAGTACAGGGAGCGAGAAAGTAAGCTGATTATACAGAATTTTTTAAAGTTTTGATTTGGTTATAAAAGTTACCTATAAGCTTCACGAACGTAGGTTCGTTTAGTGATGCGTCATAATATTTCCCTCGAAGTGTGTTTTTGCGTGTAACACATAGACAAAACAACATCAAACAATACAGGTACCGTACTGGTGTATTTAAAGGGTTCCGATTAGCATCCCGTATAAAAACAATATGGCGGCTCCAGGCGAATCAACTGGATCAGTCCATTTTTAAGAAACAAGGAGAGTTCTGTAAAATCCAGTTTATTGAAATTGTCTTTGAGATAAAGTAATCCGTTTATAATGATTTTGAAAACGTTATCCAAAGAGTGATTGCGTTCAAGTAATACATGTACAACGGCCAATGTAAATTATTGTATTAGAAACCGGTTTGTCTTGCTTTGTTTCATTTGTAGGATATTTCATATGCCAAGCTGTGTGCTATTACGTTATGGGGAAATTTAGATGCCAATTTTTCCTTATTATACACAAATAGAAGATCCTGAAACTTCACCCATAAATGTGGAATTGATTTGTCAAAATAAAAATCACCCTTTTATATATGTGTGACGATCTCTAATATACTTATGCTATATAACAGTTCGAGGTGTTTACACAACGACTTCGAACCTGTGAACCCTTGAGTATTATTCCGGGATCGGGCCTTTTATACTAAACGGTGAACAACACCAGAAACGAGCGTTCGATTTGCTAAACGATATGCGTCACCCTTTAATTCTATTAGTTGATATATTCAATGCACTAAGATGTAGATTCAGTAATCATAATGAAAATTTATATATATTAGCACGTTCGTTGAATTGATGTTATTGACAATTGCGGACCACCTCATCGCATTCTCATTGGTAAGTGTGTATGCCATAAACCGCAGGTGAATCTGGCATACACCGCGAGTGAATATGCCATATTCGTTGCGGAATATGACATATATTTGTATGGTGTTTACCACGTAACACATGATATGGGTCACTGCAACAATGAATTGAAATAAAAGCACATGATTATTGCTGCCATTTTGAATGTTGACTAGACTAGTGCTGTATCATTAGTGTATTTGTAGAAAGTGGATTCATAATATTATAACTATGTTTAACCCATACTCCGAAGTCAATGTCATTTGAGACCGAATGCTCTCTCTTGTATGAGTACTTGTATCTACAACTATTTTTGATGTTACGAGTATTGGCTTTCAATTTGTTGATGCCATAATTTATTCTCAGTCTTGAATTTTGAAGAAATTGAAAGACTTAAACAAACATGCCTAAATATATATTGTGCAAAATTTTACCAATGTGATTCACGGAAATTGTTGAAACACATTGCATGATCTTTAAAAAACTTACAGTGAGAGATCTAAGTTTTAACCATACCATATGACAAATCAATACCAAACAAAGTCCGAGAACATAAGGTTTTTCAGACTGTGGCTAAAAAGATTTCCACAGACAGATTTTTGAAGGGTTGAAGAATCACAAATGTTGAAGTTCACATTTTATCGATTTTCACTGATGTTTGGTTAGGGTTAATAATTTCTGCAAATTTCAAGACTTCGAAAAATAAATGGTATCAACAAAAACTTTAGACCTTTCTCTACAAGATGTAAAAATATGAAATGATTCCTGCAGGTAATAAGGGAAATCTAGCCTGTTGCACGGTTAACTTTTTTGGACCACCCTGTACATGTTGTACATACCAGTGAATTGTTTATCTGATAACTCGACATCACATAAAATTCAATTCAGTTCGATACATACATTTGACAAGATTTACCAAATTCGACTGAATCATAGCGCATGCGCATTTAACTCGAGATCTTGGTCATCGCTGTATGTAAACAAAACCACCTGAAGAGATTACAGTTGCGTTTGTCACCAAGAATCGTAACACTTATTAAACAAAGTTAATCAGGAATATTGATATACAATATATTCGGGAATGAGGCTATTGATCTGAAACGGTCAGTGTACACACCTGTTATTATCAACAATGTTCAAAGGATCACTTAGTGGAAGGGGGTTCAGATCTAGACGCTCCTCCAGTTACCCCGATCAGTGAGAGTTGGGTGTAGTGCAGAAGGGCGGCTTTGTAAAGTTGCTGCAGATCCAGGATATTATCCATTATGGTTCACGTCACTTGTTAGAGCGTTAAGCCTCTCTCGACGTGGGAATATCTGGGTTTCAAAAAAATCGGGAGAAATATCCGAGTTACAAAAACTAAATTAACCATTCGAATAAGTCTGGAGACAGCCTGGGATTCTTTCTTTTTTTGTTTTGCAATACATTTATGGTCTTTCTGCGTCTTGCAATAAATTTTTTATCTTTTTTTGTGTTTTACAATATATTTTGATCTTTCTATGTTTTGCAATACATTTTGGTCTCCAGTGATATGCAATACTTTTTGATCTTTCCGTGTTTTGCAACACACCTTGGTCTTTCTGTGTTTTACAATGTATGTTTTGTATTTCATTGTTTTGCAATATTTTTTGATCTTTCAGTGTTTTCCAATACATATGGTCTTTCTGTTTTTTGCAATATATGTTGGTGTTTTCTCTGTTTTGCAACACACATTGGTCCTAATCAATTGTTGGATGCCTGGTATGACTGTACATGAGAATTAGTTTAGTTAGTATTTGTCAGGATTGGGCTGTATATGGACAACTAGGGAAGAAAGAATAATCCACGGAATTCAAAATGAAAGCTTTTTATTGGAACAATTTAATTGAATTTAATACATATAAAAATCAGTTATATCGTATTATGGAGGCGATCAGTTGAAGTTTTGGATTGTCACTAAATATCAGCTATGATGCGTTTCGAAGCACCATTTTGTCATATCCAGGTCGGAGAAACACTAGTCATCGCGTCTACACTTATCCTGAAAAAATGAAATATAACTTTTGTTTATAAATACATGCCTACCCTAATAGCAATCCTTTAATATATGAACGGCTTAGAGATACCAAGATAAATCTGTCGCTAGTTCCTTTCGAAACTGCACTAAATAACTTTAATTGTCATTTTTATGAAACGGATAGAACTGTAGGTCAACGTATTATTTGTGATAATGTTATTATTCAATAGGATATATCTTAGAAAATGTGTATGAAATGCTAACAAATAGGTTAAATAATTGTAAACGGGCCAGAATCGAATAATTTAGCTGAATAATCTGTTTACGACATTACTATACGGTCTTTTCCAAGTCACGCTTCGAATATAATATTTCACTGTTGAACTGAGACAAATATGGAATAAGTCTGCGAGTGATGATGAACTATTCTTGAATTTCAGTCATTTAGAGCTCGTTATCTAATGAATTTCTCTGAATTTTCAACTGCTTATTGAAACAATATTTTCCCAATCATGTTCAAAGTTCTCATTTTATATATCCAATAAAAATGAGTCACTCCCTTTACATTTGGGCATATTTTTGGGGACACCCTGTAAGATGCTAGACAAAGCCATTCAATAGAGCGATCCACTTTACTTGAAGTTTAAAATCAGTTTATGAATACTAATATTGAATCAATGTAAAATAATATAGTGTTTGTATGTAGGGAGCTTTACATTTCATCTCAAGACATTCAGGTAACTGAGAGACTGCAGCAAAAGATAAAATAATAGGTGCTAATAGCGTAGTCTCGCTTTGGAACTTGGACTAAGCATCTATTCAGGATATTTATCAACACACTAATGTGAGTAGATGGCAGGTAAAATAGGAGAAACATGAAATGAGAAAGGAGAATGATGTGACAGTTACACATGTGATTTATTTACATGTATGATTTACTTACCAGTCCCCCCATTGACGCAAATGTTACAGGTCTTTTTGCAAAATCTCGCCTTGTAAGATCTACAGTCCAGACGGTTATCGTTCTTGGCTGTAAGACAGTTAGGACTCTCGTCCTTACAAACTGCAACACAATATAAGACTGACTTCATGCACTAATGACATATCTGGTAGAGGAGAGTGAGATGGCAAGTAAAAGTAAAATGGCATGAAAGGCACGGGTGTGATTTACTAACCAATCCCACCATCGCTACAAATGTCGCATGACTTCTTGCAAACTCGTTTCGCCCTGTAAGATCTACAGTCCAGACGGTTCTCGTTCTTTGCTTTAAGACAGTTAGGACTCTCGTCATCACAAACTGCAACAAAATATAAGACAGACGTCATGCATTAATGACACATATCTGATAATCTGAAAGACAAAAGAGAGTGAGATGGCAAGTAAAAGTAAAATTGCATGAAAGGCATGGGTGTGATATACCTACCAGTCCCGCCATCGCCGCAAGTGTTGCATGACTTCTTGCAAACTCGTTTCGCCATAGAAGATCTACAGTCAAGACGGTTATTGATCTTGGCTTTAAGACAGAGAGGACTCTCGTCCTCACAAACTGCAAAAAAATAAGACAACTGGCGCCATGCATTAATGACAAATATCTGATAATCTGAAAGAAGAGAGGAGAGTGAGATGGCAAGTAAAAGTAAAATTGCATGAAAGGGTCGGGTGTGATCTACTTACCAGTCCCATCATAGCCGCAAGTGTTGCATGACTTCTTGCAAACTCGTTTCGCCAAAGAAGATCTACAGTCCAGACGATCCTCATTCATGGCTTTAAGACAGCCAGGACTGTCCAGACAAACTGCAAAAAATATAAGACAACTGGCGCCATGTATTAATGACAAATATCTGATAATCTGAAAGAAGAGGAGAGTGAGATGGCAAGTAAAAGTAAAATTGCATGAAGGGCACTGATGTGGTCTACTTACCAGTCCCACCATCGCCGCAAATGTTGCACGTCTTCTTGCAAAATCTCGCCTGGTAAGATCTACAGTCCAGACGGTTATCGTTCTTGGCTTTAAGACAGAGAGGACTCTCGTCCTCACAAACTGCAAAAAATATAAGACAAATGGCGTCATGCATTAATGACAAATATCTGATAATCTGAAAGAAGAGAGGAGTGAGATGGCAAGATTATGTACAAGCAGACAATACATGTATGATGTATAACCGATGTTTTACATTTTTACTGCATGACACTTTACACCTTTTTGAAACTCAAATGTATTCATTTGAAAGCATTCATTAAAGAATTAACATTAATAACAATTATAAAATGGCCAAAATCACTTAAAAATGCTAAGAATTGTGAAAAACCGCGTGATTCAAAAATAATTGGCTGGGGAGGGGTCGGTGGAACCCATCATACCCCCCTGGGTGCGGGCTTGCAGATTATGTACAAGCGCTTTTCAAAGACTATGTGTCTGTAAGACTTGATAAGAGGTGCTACTTGACTTGATTTCCAAAGGAGACGAAGTTGTTTGTAGAATGAATTGGGGGAGTTTTTTCTTGCATTTTGCTTGTGTTTTTCATCCAAAAAACATCTATACACTTCAAACATTTTATTGACGATAAGATTGCACCATATAATCCATAAAATATTTCTCATATTCAAGGATTATCTATGGATTAATGTATTTTCTTTTTTCACACTTCAGAGGACTGGGAAACATTGAACATATTCGCTTTTGAATAATATAAATGCTGTTTTAATTATTGTGTTTTATGGATTATGATGACGGCTTTGCGAACGGATGTTGACCCTTTGAATTGCCTATGGACTTCGAGACTGGATTTTATCTATCCCACATCATTTGAGACTGAATACTCTATCTTTTATGAGTACTAGTATCTACAACTATTTTTGATGTGATAAGTATTGGCTATCATTTTTTTTCAATTTTTCTTCAACATGTCTTGTAATGACTTCAGTATGAATAAAATGTCCCTTGGTCTTCTGGTCCTGGATTGTGATATTGGTTCTCGATTGAAGGGGGAGGAGGGTGTTAGAATTGTTTCTTTTCACGTTAGATCATGGTTTTGGGATATATGGGGTCTACTCTTCTTATGACAGATTTACACTTACAGTTTGCTTTTCTTGTTTTTTTTTTAAAGTTTTTAGTCACCCTTCCCTTTTGCATTTGCGCTTATATATTCCATGTATACCAATGATTTCTCTACCGATAGATGGTGTAAATGGTACTAATTCCTTAATCCCTCAAATTTTCTCTTTGAGGAATTACCCATATCAATCCAATGGTACAGTTCCGAGCAGATTTTGAGATAACAGGAAAGTAAATCTTTAATACAAACCTTTTTGGGTTGCGATATAAACTAAAACAAATGAGTTAATAAATGAGCTGGTGACGACGGTATATCTGCGGAGCATTTCAGTAACCTTTTAAAACAGGAACTCTGCTTGATAAGGATTTTTAAGATGGCAGCTAAATTTTAAAATTGCCGCCATTTTTATAAAAGAACGTAATCTTTGATAACTCAAATACGAGTAGATCAATTTCGTTCAAATTTTATATGCCGCTGCTTAGGGACAATGGCACTTTGCTCAAGAAGACATTTTCAAGATGGCCACTGAAAAATATAATCCTTAATAACTCAAATACTAGTGGACAGATTTTGTTCAAATTGTAAATACTGATGCCTTTGGACACACGAGCTCTGCTCGATAATGATTTTTTAAAATCGCAACTGAATTTTAAAATGGCCACCATTTTTTAAAAGAAAGTAATATTTGATGACTCGAATACCAGTAGACGGATTTCGTTCAAATTTTATATGCTGATGCCTATGGACAAATGAGCTTTGTTCAAGAAGACATTTTCAAGTAGGCTTATGCATTTCAAAATAACAGCCATTTTTGTAAAAAATGAAATTTTCGATAATTGAAATGCGAGTGGATCATGAATCGCAAAATACCTTCTTAATTGGAATTAGAAGATACCTAAAAAAATGGAATCGAAAATCATATTTTTGTCGACTATTTCTTTATTCTGGTCAATGCCTTAACAGAAAGTCCCATAGCTTTACTTACCTTGATGTGTTGTTCACCGAATGCGAAGCATGTGTTTTTAAAAACTTACCTAGGTTTCGAGAATATAGAGGACGAAGTGCCTCCGATAATAATGCTGAATTCATTGCTATCAACAGATTTATTTATTCATTCCTTTATCCCTCGCATTTTCTCTTTTAGGAATTTCCCATAGCAATCCAATGGTACAATTACAAACAGAGTCTGAGATAACAGGAAAGTAAATCTTTAATACAAAACTTTTTGGGTTGCAATATAAACTAAAACAAATGAGTTAAATAAATGAGCTGGTGACGACGGTATATCTGCGGAACATTTCAGTTACCTTTTGAAACAGGAACTCTGTTTGATAAGGATTTTTTAAGATGGCAGCTAAAGAACAGGTCCATTGGTCCACTTAGACTTTTTCCAAAAACTCATTCTTCCATTTACTTTTAAAACCGATTGCAAGTTGTAGTGAAACCTTTTTTCTTGAGATGTGCAATTTCAAAAGAGGCATTAGTTTTCAGTTTTTTTGAAAAATTGGCAGTAAGAACCCCTATCACAAGACTGTCTGAATATGGGTACACACTATGTTTACCATCAAAATAATAGAGAATTTTCGTTATACATATTGATTCTACTTATACGGATACGTATACGTATGTTTATAAGTATAAGTATAAGTTACAGATTAAAATCATGTTTCGTTATAAGTATAACATTATTTTACTCGTGGTTCTGTATTCCGATTAAATTACATCAACAACGTCCGGTATAATGGACATAAAGTTCTAACACTATGTCACTGGGTGTTATGAATATCAATAATGTATGCAAGACAATGAAAAAAAGATAAGGTAACTTTTTACTTATAAACCCTGTTCTAACTGTAAAAAACTTATAGCCTAACGAATAGAGAGCGCAAGTTGTGATGACGTATTACACAAAAGCCATAGTATAAGTATAAGTATAAGGGGGCCAATTACGTATAACGAAAATTCTCTAATATAAAAACTTATCATTATATAGAATTTATCATATGGAACATATGGCATACAGGCATTCGGAGTAGAACATTAACAAAATTCAGTTATGTATGAAGTTTACTAATGCAAATCTGGAAAACATTGTCATTTTTGTTCACTTTGTTATCAAGTTTTAGCATGGCGCTCATTCCCTTTCATTGAAAATTTAACCATCGGCCCACACTCCCACAAAAAGATCTTAAAACTGTATAATGCAGAGATTGTAAAGTAGCTTCCCTGCAAATATCTTGTTGTGGGAGTGTGGGCTCACCACTAAAACTTAACTTTTGTGATGAAAATAAGACTGACTGGTTTATGTTTTCAATATGGCTGCTAACCTGGGCATACATGTACACTACATAACTGCATGTACAGATCAGGCCATTCAAAATCAATTATATGTTGGCATTCTGATGATTGGCCTTATATTAAAAACTACAAAACCTTTATCTATTAAAGGGTTTTATATATTATTTAAAGGTGCAATAATTAGTGCAGAGGAATCATTCAACGATCATGGACCAGTGTCAAAATATATTTAAGTTTGAATATTTCATCAAGACTAACATCTATTTTTATTATCTTCATAGAAACGCCCTAGATAAACATTATTTTAGCTGATATTCCTCTTGAAACATGGTGGATCTTAAAAATATAAAAGTGGAAGTCCCCTTTTTGAAGCTTTGAACTGAATTTACACTTCTTAATGCTAAAATTGATAATTTATCCATACATTTTAAGAAAATAGGTATGTCAAAGAAGATGTTAAAGCAAATGTTGCCTTGATAGCTCAGAAAAAATGAAAAACTTTCCTATTTTCTCTACAGTCCTTATTGCCCCTTTAATAGTGAAAATTCAATAACATACTGTGACAAAGCAAGTTACACACCTCTTGATTCAGATGACCTGTTAATGAAGACAATACTGAAGCTTATATACATATTGTTTTTTATTATTTCACTACAATATATAATTCAAGATCACACTTCCCTTTGTCATTTATATGCATTACAAGTACAGAGTACATGGGAAAATTTTGCTTTTGCTGAAAACATAGAATTTAGTGACATTAAATATAAAAACATCTTTGAATGGCCTAAGTGTTTTTATAAATAGGGTATAAGTTATTATATTATCATTATTTTAAGCAATCCTTTGAGTGTCATGCCATTTATACATGATGCTGCCTTACATTTTATGATATATATTGAAAGAGGATTACTCTGAATTATTTGTGTTTCAAATATGGGAACTGCAAATTGGCAAATAACTTTAAGATTAAGTCTCCATACAGACATTTAATTTCAAATTCAAAAGCAAATGCCAATGCGCATTTATTTAAAGATTCGCGCAATCTTTATCCAATCAGCGTTTGCGATGTGTATCGGCTCAAGTATAAAAGGCGAATCCAACTCCAAATCCATGCAGGGGTGTATGAGGTACTCGTGTCGGAGAGAGCCGGTGAAATAAGAATTTACATGCACATTGTCAATGTTTACACATGTTTGGAGTTATTGAAGAAAATGTGATATGGGGGTGGTTCCGAATTTGAAGTCATTGCTGGAAAATATGATTTTAATACGTGAAATTATATCTATAAATACAGCACTGAAAAATAACAGTACACATGAAGTACATGTATGACTGTGTCCAGAAATGTTTGAAACCCTTACAGAAAATTCTGTCTGCATTTTGTCAATATTGCTCTTTCTTCCCACAGTCTAGTGCTATTTGAATGAATATATTTAATAATGTATTTCTAACTAAAACATATATCACTTTTTTTTTATAAACCACAAACATTTAGATCATAAAAAAGTTATTCAATACTTGAGTGAGCACGATATGCAAGGGTTATTAAGTTGACACAGTAAATGACCACTGATATTGTGTTAGTCCATGCACACTGCGTATTCTTCTAATACACATTTGCTAACACCTCTCGCTTTCATAGTGAAGTGACTAATTGGTTAATGTTTACGTTTTGATGTGTTTTGTGTTCCTTGTTACAGCAAGGGGGACCAGTAAAGTAGACTAACATGTTTGCATGGCAAGCTTTGATCGAATATGTGAGACACTTTAAAGTGACCCTATAACTATTTAGAATATGGCAAACATGTTTAGAAAACTGGCGAGATCAATTGAAATAAGAAAATTCATTCTCGTGGAAGTGCCCTTGTGTGCATTTAATTGCAGTCATTTTTCCTAATTGCCCATGGGCATTTAAAACAATAATCACATTTCAATTCTTAAAACATGCTTAGGATACTGTTGGAGCCTCAAAGGGCAACAAGAACATTCATTTTTGAAACAGGAACATTTAGTCCCCCTAAAAATGCCCCTATGGGGATTTATTCTCAAGACTTTCTTGTAATTGCCTGTGAGAATTTATTAAGAATATTTTTATTTCCATTTGCATGTCTTATTATCAGTCACAATCAAAATTAAGCTAATTGCTTTCATTGTTTTGTATTAAAAAATGGCAAAATTTTGACAAAAATAGCATCTCTCAAAGTTTACCTTAAAACCACCCTAATGTCAAGGTCAAATGTCAAAATTCTCAGAAATCGCATTTAAAGTAACAAGTCATACTTCCTTTTCAATTCCATGTCAATATATACTATTTTTGTAGGGGGGGGGGGGGGGCTAAAAGAGGGGTTTACCGCCACCTGTCCTTTTAAAATTGCCGCCATTTTTATAAAATAACGTTATCTTTAATTTGATAAATCAAATACGAGAAGACCGATTTCGTTCAAATTTTATATGCTGATGCTTAGGGACAAAGGCGCTTTGCTCAAGAAGATATTTTCAAGATGGCTACTGAAAAATATAATCCTTGATAACTCAAATACCAGTTGACAGATTTTGTTGAAATTGTAAATACTGATGCCTTTGGACACACGAGCTCTGCTCGATAAAGAATTTTTAAAATGGCAACTGAATTTAAAATGGCAACTGAATTTAAAATGGCCACCATTTTTGAAAAAAAGTAATATTTGATGACTCGAATACCAGTAGACGGATTTCGTTCAAATTTTATATGCTGATGGCTATGGACAAATGAGCATTGTTCAAGAAGAAATTTTCAAGTAGGCTTATGAATTTCAAAATGACCGCCATTTTTGTAAAAAAATGAAAATTTCGATAATTGAAATGCGATTGGATCATTAATCGCAAAATTCCTCCTTAATTGAAATTAGAAAATACCTAAAAAAATGGAATCGGGCTATCATATTTTTGTCGACTATTTCTTTATTCTGGTCAATGCCTAAACAGAAAGTCTCATAGCTTTACTTACCTTGACGTGTTTTTAAAAACTTACCTATGTTTCGAGGAAATAGAGGACGAAGTGCCTCCGATAATGAACAGCTACAAGTGGCTGTAACTCGTGAACTCCATGACAAGCACTCATAGAGATGATAAAATAATCTGAACTTTGAGACAGAGAATGTGCAAACACCCAAAAAACATTATTTTTCAAAAATGTTGTCCTGATTTTTAGCTCTTCTATTATTTTCCCTATGGGAAAATAACATTGGAAATATTGTTTTCCACTTCATCCCAAATTAATCATATTTCCTTTTAAAATTAAACAAGACACAGAGTGATAAATATCGCACTTTGAAGAGCAAACTGGCCACCATGCAATTTACCCAGCATGGCCAAAACCTAATCAGACCTTGGCACTAGTCTGCTTGCATCTGTAAACATTTTAAGTTGACAAGGTTTGCGGTTTTCCTGCAATTTTGATGACAAGAATTTATTTGTAGTCTTGAACTTTGGGAAAATTTAGATAACATTGTATGTGACCTAATTTGATGACCTTCGACCTTGAAAATTTCACTTTGTCAGACCTCAGTAGGTCTTTTGTAATTAAGCTGGCCTAAGTTTAAATCCAAAATATCAATTTAGAAAATCAAATTTTTGACCTTTTCAAGGTCACTGAAGGTGAACGAAAGGTCAAATCTGAAATCTAAATTCAGATTTGAACTTCTGAGAACTTGTAGATGTTTTTTTTAAAAAAAGGTCAATTTGGAGCAAGTTGAAAAATTCAAAATGGCCGCCAAATTGAAAAATTCAAAATGGCCACCATGTAATTCAGCCAGCATACCCAAAACCTAATCATATCTTGGTAATAGTCTGCTCTTACATCTGTAAAAATTTCAAGTTGAACGGATAAGTGGTTTTCCTTGAATTTTGATGACAAGATTTGTTAAAAATTCAAAATGGCCACCACGTAGTTTACCCAGCATGCCTTAAACCTTATCAGATCTTGGCACTAGTCTGCTATTGCATGTGTAAAAATTTCAAGTTGAACAGGTTAGCGGTTTTCTTGGAATTTTGATGACAAGAATTGATTTGTAGTCTCAAACTTTGAGAAACTTGGATAACATCATTTGTGACCTAGTTTAATGACCTTGACCTTCGACCTTGAAAATTTCACTTTTTCAGACCTCAGTAGGTGTTTTGTAATTAAGCTGGCCTAAATTTAAATCCAAAATATCAATTTAGAAAATCAACTTTTTTGACCTTTTCAAGGTCACTGAAGGTGAACGAAAGGTCAAATCTGAAATCTAAGGTCAGATTTGAACTTCTGAGAACTTGTAGATGTTTTTTTTAAAAAAAATGTCAATTTGGAGCAAGTTGAAAAATTCAAAATGGCCGCCAAATTGAAAAATTCAAAATGGCCACCATGTAATTCAGCCAGCATACCAAAAACCTAATCAGATCTTGGTAATAGTCTGCTCTTACATCAGTAAAAATTTCAAGTTGAACGGATAAGTGGTTTTCCAGGAATTTTGATGACAAGATTTGTTAAAAATTCAAAATGGCCACCACGTAGTTTACCCAGCATGCCTTAAACCTTATCAGATCTCTTGGCACTAGTCTGCTATTGCATGTGTAAAAATTTCAAGTTGAACAGGTTAGCGGTTATACTGGAAATTTGATGACAAGATTTGGTTTATGTGCCGCCCGCCCGCACGACCGCACGCCCGCCCAACAGCACAAGACGACGACAATATAGCACTTTTTCAAAGTGCGATAAAAAGGAACGTCAGTCGAAATGCGGCCGCCATGAGCAAATGTGACTGAAGCTTTAGTGAGTTAAATAGTGCTAGATACCTTCTGATTCTTCGCGTTTCTCTTCTGCATTGGTCTGTAGCTGATCTAGGAATGGACCAGTCTTTTCTGAAATAAATTCAATGGCAATTTCTTTATTATTTTATTTTAATTTCTCCGATATAAACATGAATCCTTATTTGTTTTTAAACAAAGTTGATTAAAAGATTCGGTTTTATAAGTTTACTACAGCATGTATTTTTCATATAAACGATTTACATTGTTAACTTCTCCACATGTTAACGCCTGGGTCACATTTGCTTCGATCCATCGGCCGGCGCCCGGCCGATTGAGTTTTTTGTTCAATATTGCATTTAATTTTGAACGAATACTCAATAGGCCGGGCGCCGTAGTGGAAATCTGAGCCGATGTGACCCAGGCATTAGGAAAATATGGTAACTGAACGATTTCCGGTTACCCCTCTCTTCTGACGTCGTGATCATGTGACCACTGATCGGGATCGACCATTCTTACCCGTTTGATATATTTTATTTATTCAATATTACACTTATATCTTACTCCCTGTTGACAAACTGTTATATTAAAAAAAACTTGAATATTACATCTTTTTTTATAAATTGTTATAACAATGGTAATCCGTGAATCATAATAGTTTTAATAGTTAGGTGTGTCCGTTTTAAAATCTTAAAAATCTTGTCACTTTATAGATAACTGTTTGACATTTGAGATGAAAGAGCTGTATAGTGTCTCCCATCGGTAGACACGTGTTGTACATGTCTCTGTCCTTGATATTACTTAATACAAATTATAGCAACCACTATCATCCAAGGATCGACATGAGTTCATTTGCGTTTATTTATCAAGCAATTTTTAAAAATCTTTTCGGCAAAACATGGGAGTATGAACAATGTTAAATAACATTATATTTCCTTACCAGCATCTCCGTTGTCAGTGCATAAATTGCATGTCTTCTTGCAAAATGATTTCTCCCAGTAATAATTACAGTTCAAGTCATTGTTATTTTTAAAGCTTTCACATCTTGCACTTATGTCTTCGCAGCTTCTAGCAACAGCTGTAACAATAGATGTCGCTTGTTAGACAAACATGTGAGATGCGTGACTGAAACATCCTTCATTCAAAGGACTTCACTTATTAGTCAATTCATTATGGAAAGAAGAGAAATACCCTTGGACCAAGAATGGACTGGTATAACATTTTTACTTCACAACTTCATAAAAAATGATTTTTTCTAAAACTTTTTCTGAACTGCAAAACATCCATGAAGTGTCTGACAAATGATAACGTGGTACAGACATACTATTTTTTCATCGTGGTGCTATTATAAGTCGCAAACGTTTGAAGCTTTTAAAACTAGACTAGCGTTTTATGTTAAGGGTTAACATACAAATCAGAGAGAGTTATAACACTTTACCAGATATGTTGAAATGCCAACGTGTGAAGTCGTGACTGAAGCAGATCTGCAGATATTGCATTTTTGGACAGTGCAGACACTTCTCATAGATTTCACTGGTTTTCATTGGTTTAGTGAAACAGTTCAAAAGTACTGATTCTCTCTAAAAGAGTGGTATCGATATGGAGAACTTTTTGAACACACGTTTCTCTTAAAGCAGTCATAAAAAATCTAAAAATTTAACACATCGTCAATTTAATGGTCATCTTTTGAATGGTAACAATATAATTTGAAATATATAAATGTACTTTCATCTATATTGTTTTAGAAAACACATTAAAATTTTGTTTTGTTCTTGGTATCACGTTTCCAGAGTGAAATGAAACATCTTTCCGAACCTCATTGGAACAAAACGACATAAACACAACATGTTTAGGTCTCTCAATAATGTAGTTGGTTGATTTTAAAAAAGTATCTTGTTAATGAAATACACCGGGAGATATGCCGAGTACTGATTTATTGCATATTTTAGTACTAAATGAGTACTCCTATGATGAGTGATAAAATAGCGCTAATTTCATTAATTTTTCATTACTCAATGAGCACTCATAATATGAGCACTAATTAAGTGCATGTTTTAGTACTAAATGAGTACACATATCATGAGTGATGAAATAGTGCTAATTTCATTGATTTTTCATCACTCAATAAGCGCTCATATTATGAGTACTAATCCATTGCACATGTTTCACAAGTGATAGAATAGTACTCAAAAATTAAAATGTTGATAAATATTTTTTAATTGATGAAGTAAAATATACAATACGCAATAAAATACATTTTAATTATACGAAAACATGGATAAATATATTATTAGACTTTTCCCAAAATGTTCCAAAATGTTGAAATTTCCACGTGTTGTGGACTGTCTCACATACTGAACTGAATGTCTTTATAAAGTACACTGGTGAAACTGGGGTCAACCATGCATTCATATAAATTGAAATGATGCCAATTACACTACCCGCAAAAGGATTAGAAAACCTAGAAACTATCCAAAAGATAAATGGACAAACAATTACATGATAAATATATGGCATTCAGATTCATTAAAAACATTATTCCAAATGGAATAAACTTCATACTGCTTACTTAGAATAAGTGAAAGATGATGTAAGTTGTATTAAAGGAGAAATTACTAAAATTACACGGTGAGTTCTATATGTGTTACAATTATAAGCTGATATGTGAGTAAGTCTAAATAACTAAATTGAAGGTAGCATGTGGATTGTATCCCAGGTAGAATGATAACTACCGAGTGCTTATTATTTAGCAAATGAACAATATTTTAGTGCTAAATGAGCAATTTTTTAGTACTAAAAGAGCGCTCAAGTAGCACTAAATCATTACTTAAAATATCGTTACTACAACGGTTCTAAAATAAACCCTTATTTTCACAAAATTAGTGCTAAAATAGCACTCAATTAGTAATAAATTAGCACTCTGGAAAAAGTGCACTCATGAGTACTCATGCCACGAGTGATAATTTAGTACTAATTTTGTACTAATTTAGTACTCGGCATATCTCCCTGTGTATCTGTCATTCATTTTCGTCATCCGTTCATAGTGTTATTGTATTGGGGCTGCTACAATCTATTATATTCATGTATAGTTAAGATTTATATATAATATATACATTTATATATATTTGACGGAATGTATCGCCACAGATTTCGGACAGTAATATGTTGGATTTTGGCTATTTTCTGAGGATTTTAACAAATGCATATGTTAGGCCATTGCAATACCTCTAGGAATGACAGTATGTCAAAAGAAGGAGTAGAGAAAATTTTCTCGTTTTTATACATTTTATGAAAAAAGTATTCTTTACACTCTTTTACAGGTACATTAATGCACTCTTCGTGCAAAACTGAAAGATGTAGACAATGCGGGGAAGGAGTGATTGATATTTCAAAAATAACATGTGCATTACAATTCTGAACATGCTGGACAACCTCAAGGTCAGATTGCATTTTCTATTATTCTGATGACCATGTGCTTTTTTCAGTTGAACGCAACTCATTCCAAACACGGTCTAAATCTTTCGTATTTGCACAAAGGTTGCTTTAGTGTTACCAGATTAAGGTCAGGGTGCATGTTCGGAATTTTTCTGCAACTTCAAATATGAATCACTCCTTCCGCACAATGTCTACATCTCTCACTTTTGCACAACAAGTGCACTAATGTACCTAGAAAAGAATATAGAGAAGAATGTTTTGATAAATGTATAAAAACAAAAAAATCAGTGAAAAAATTCAGAAAGTTTTCAGTATCTTTTTCACTGAATTTTCACTTTTTTATACATTTTACAAAACAAATCTTCATACCAGTCTTTTTTAGGCACATGACACAGTTTTGCACAAAGAGTGCACTTATGTGCCTAGAAAAGACTAATACAATCTTTGAAATTTTAGAAAATTATCTTAAACAAAAATGGCGGTCATAAAAAGGAAAATAGATCGCTTTTCAAATCAGTTTTTTCATTTTTTTCTTTTTCTATGAATGATATCAAATTTTCAAAGATTGTATCATTTAGAGCAATATATTGAGCACATTTTCTGAAAAATTCAAAAGATTCTGTTCAGTGACCTTCCCTACGCTCCTACTTTTAGCTTTTTTTCAGTCACACTTTCAAAGGGCTAAAAAGGTTATTTCATCATGTTTAGGGTCATTCTGACCATGCACATTGTGATCCTGGTCATGTAAATGATATGTGGAAATAGTTAAATTGACTGGAGGTCAAACCAGAACTCTGTTATCTTTGTTCAAAAAATGTCTAAAAATACAAAAAAAAATTGTCACTTCCTGTTTTGTCATTTCCTGTTAACTTCCATAGCACCTTAAATTGACTGGAGGACCAAACAAAACTCTGTTATCTTGGTTCAAAAAAATTTTAAAATCCAGCATGGTTTTGACATTTTTTGTTTTGTCATTTCCTGTTAACTTCCATAGCACCTTAATTCATCTAATTTAGATGAATTTTAATTAGTAAATAAAATACATACTTTCAGCAATGGATCCAATGACTAACAGGGCAAAGACGGCGAGTTTCCATGTAGAGCCTTCCATCTTAGAGTGATTACCAAAACACATTTGTCAAAATCTAAGCCAGCTCGCAAATATGTAGGTTTGTTGCGCAATAAGTGTGTACTGAGGCATAAGTAAGCACATGTACTTATGTGCGCTCATGCAGACAGTTAAGGTAGTTATACATACAACCAGCTGCCTAAAAATAGGCTAAGTAATTGGGCTCTAAAAGGGGCCAAACATCTCAAAAATTGAAACAATTGTTAGATTTGGGTCACATTCTGTGTGATATCAGTAGAATTACATGTAGGAAAATGTATACAGTGGACAAATATGAAATTTTACATACTAGCTACCCCCTCTACCCCAAACCAAAAGTCATTAATCTGTTACCGAATTTGAAAAGTTATGTTAGTTTGATATCTCATACACATAGAGTAGTGATTAATAGACGACATACATAATTCGATGGTACTTCATACACAGTTCAGTTAAATATTATTGTCAAATATTTATAGCTAAAGAAAACAGAATACCACATAAACTACATTAAAAGTCCCACTACTGAATTTCGAGTTTGAATGACCTGAAGGTGAACTTATTGTAATATTACTGAATGTACTCGATGTCAATGAGTTTCTTTACAATTACAATACAGTCTCTGTTTGTGAAAGTTAACTTTATTGAGACCCTGTATACCTACCTTAAGTAGCCTTTGTCAGAACAACTAATGCCTTGGTCACATTTGCTCCGATATTCATTACGGCGCCCGGCCGATTGAGTATTTTGTTCAAAATTGAATACATTTCTAAACAAAATACTCAATCGGCCGTGCGCCGTAGTGAAAATCGGAGCAAATGTGACCAAGGCATTAATTATTCAACACTGGTTTTGAATTAACTCATACTTGAACGCTCACTGGTGATCCACTTGATTACGCTGGTTACCGACACGAACCGTAATGAACCGTTTCGGTAACAAAATGTCGGAGCCACGAAGTACGATTTTTCTTTTTCCTTATTCCACGCGTTGTAGGGAGAATTCCCATGGCATTTCCAATAACAAACGTGTGATAGTATCATAGGTCTAAGAAAATGAACATGTTTGCTAAAAAATAGTTCAGCAGACCACAGAATCGTCAACGTTATACTTCACTTAGGTTACGTAAACGGAACTACAAAAGAACGGTTTAGATCTGAACTTTTTAACCTATTCCGTTTACGTAACTTAAGCGAGGTATTAAATCAACGATTCTGTTGTCTTCTGAACTATTTGTTCGTGAACATGTAATTTTTCTTGAACATATCATACTGACACTCTTTTGTGATTAAAATGTCGTAGGAAATCGGCTCACAGCGTTACCAAAAACGGTTTAACCGGCATAATCGAGCGATGCACCAGTGAACACTGTCAATAGTATAATATGCTTTATTTCAATTCCTTAGTTGGATAGTTCATTAACACCCCAGTTATATTTGTCGTACGTCTGCACGTCGACCGCAGATCAATTAAATCATATAATAATGATGTAGTCAACATTTCTACGATTGTCAGATTGTGTACTGATCCCTAGG